ACTGCCTTTCGATTTCTTGCTTCCTTGATAACTACAATCTTCAGAAATACAACATCAATAACCATCTCTCTTGTTCTGTCTTCTGAACCCTGCTCTTTTTTGTCCTTTCCTCACTCCTCTCCAATCTCAGTCTTCTTATTTTCTTTCACTTTCATTCCCTGTAACCACCTACGTCTTAGTGGCTTTATTATCTTACTTGGGGTGAAAGGATTAATAGCAAAAAGGTGGCTATAATTATAATGGCACAAATAACAAGCCATTAGTATTAATATTAATCGAACTAATTGCTACCGGGCAAGAGATAGGTATAAAATACTGATATTCTCTTCTTGATATATTCATGCAGGCTATCTGAAACACCCTTCTATACCGGGTAACTGTTCAAGTCTTGTTCTCACAGTAGTAAAAACGATTCTTTGTTATCGATGGTGAGCTGGTCTGCTTTAATCGGAAAAGGCGGGATTAACGTGCGACCTTGCGCGTATCGTGGGATCCCCAAATTTCCACTTATAAAAAATGATTTTATCATGTATCCCGTGTATTTTGTGAGTTCCTTATTTGAGAGGCCAAATTACAATAGACTAACATCTTTTCCTCCATCTCTTCATCCCATCTTCTAGTTAAATAAGTTAAAAAAGTAAAAGAGAATGATAAAAATATCGTTAGTAACGCTATACTCGTTGTGTAAACGCGTACAGCCATAAACAATCGAACGAGAAACAGCTACACATCTTATAAACGTAAACAATGGAAAAGATACATATTTGCTATGTTTGTATTTTATAATACGATGCTAATATGTGAATATTACATGCATTATTATTGAATACACTTAAGTAAAACATCAGTTTTATCAAAATAGTACAACAGCATAGCCAGGGCCAGCAGTACATACGCTAATTTTATATCTCGTGTATAATGCTACCCCCTTAAAATTAGCTGCAAAATTAGGTCTTTAAAAGTCGCATGATACGCGAGTATATACGGTATATATTTTAAATCATTTCACTCTAAGAAAAGGGGTAAAGCTACTAAGATGCGAGGGGTTACTGAGTGTGAGAGAATATTGGAAAAAGAAAACATTATTAAAGAGAGTGAAGAATAAAAGAATAGGAATTAGGAAAACAAGATAACGATTAACATTGTATTTAAAATGTTGAAGATCAAAGTTGAATAGAAAGCAAGAAGCTGGAAGAGAGTTCCACGTGCGAGAAGTGCGATAGAAGAAACTGTTACCAAAGAACTTACGGTTACATGTAGTCAATTCAACTGTAAGATGGTGAGACATTGTCGCCAAGCTAGTAGTACGCTTAAATCTATAAAATCTAGGTACCAAAGAGGAAAGCTCATCATAACAATAACCATGAAGATATTTATAGAAGACGCACAGGGAAGCTACATTATGACAGTAGGAAAGTGACTGAGGCCGAGATGCTATGTCATGACCAATAACATTGCAGATTCTTTGTATTTTATCAATAATCTCTAAATAGTAGCACCAGATCAGATGTGGCAGAAATATTCAATGTATGGACGAATGGTAGACCTATAAATTTTCAAGATAGAATATGAAAAATACCTCTGTCTGTCTGTCTGTCTGTCTCTCTATATATATATGTTAAAAAGAAGAGAATAGAGGTTGGTCCAAGCGAAATGATGAATTACTTATTGTTTTATGACCCTTCGCGCAGAACTCTTCATTGCCAATTCAAGAAAGACATTCGGATTACTAACACAAAAACAGAAAATGTCTCATATCGAGAATATTCAACATTGAAAAACGTAAGGAAAAAATTAATTATTTTTAATAATATGTGGACATCTCCGCTTTTACCTGAAGACGGTCGCGAGACCAGAAACACGTGTAGTAAAATTATGGAAAATAAAGCATAATATTTTTTTCTAAATAAATCCACATTACAACCAAAAACGTTTGCGGCACCTCTCTTCTCTTCTTTTTAATATACATACTTTTCTCTCGTTGGAACCACTAATAACCTCTATCTTATATATATATATATATATACTTTATTAGAATTTTTTTCTTCCACACCTTGTTAGTGGCTTTACTGCTTTGCTTGGGGTGAAATTGACTAAAAAAACGCTTGATATACTGGGTGTAACAGCAAACTTGTCCAAATCGGGTAACAGCATAGGATAATTGTCCATCCCACAAAATGTTTAATATCTACAAAAAAAAAAAAGAAAAAAAAAAGAACGCTAAACAAATTGAGTTTCTTTTTTTCCAAGTTTTCTGATCAGAGGTTCAGCCATCTGAATTCCATTTGTCGTAAGAATCATGGAAAAACTCTTTGAGTTATTCAACTAGAAAGATAATAGGTTAAAATCGTTTTGTGTCAGCCCTACTGTCTTCTCAGCTGCGCAATGATGAGACGAAAAATCATTCAGGCCTTCAGTAACGGTGCCAAAATTCTTATTCTGGCTTTCATCTTCAAAAGTCCATTCAAGAACCAAGAGAACGGGGAAAAAGTTTAAAAAAGAGGGAACAACAGAGAGGAAAACTGGATCTGGAGGGATCATCATTTCAACTTAGAGCTAACAAGATTAATTAGAAAATATCCAACTCACCCCATAAGACGCTTGACACGTGAGAGAGTAGTTTCAGCTATGACAGTCCAATGAACAGTGAAAAAAGACTTGAAAATGAAATCGTACGTAAAACGTGTGAGACACCTTGTTACTCCAGGACAGAAAGTTAGAAGGGTAGAGAGGGCGAAAATCATTTTGAATAAGCTGTGAAATGATCCTGGAATAATATATATATTTGAACTTAATTTAAATCCTTCATGAGCTTCCGATCCTTAGCTATGATTAATTAGTGATCAACATGTCTTTTTCGTTTATGATCGATTTCATCACGATTCTTCTGTTTTGCTTGGCGAGTAATTATACATTCTTATTGCTCAAAGTAGAGTCCAATAACGCTATAAAACCTCGAAGAAGTCCAGTAAGATATCTTTAATCATTTCTAAGATACATCGGTTCAAATCTTAATTTAACAATTGGACAATTTTGCTGTTACACGGTTTGGACAATTTTGCTAGTACACACGGTACTTCCTCGGGTGTATATCGATCTGGGTAACCTAGTGGGAATTTTGAACTGAACTCTTGAAACGGGCGAGCAATACCCGAACATCACTAAATAAAAATAAGAATTAGATGATATTCCTAGACACGAGCAGTGGAATGAGAACAGTCTACACCCCGTAGATTAAATAAAGGGTACAGTTCAAAATTCCTCGTACCTTACCCAGATCAATATGCACCAGAAGAAGGCCGGGGGGCGTTGTGAGGATAATAATAACAAAGATGAGGATAATTGTCCGAATATAAATAGTAAATTTATATTTATGGTTGTTTAAAAAAAATCAATGTCAGTTTCCAATGAAATGTGAGAACATTGCAATGTAAGCAATTTTTCCTTCTACAACATTGATGCCTAAAGTTATCAAAATGGCGATCGTTTGCAAAATTGATGACTCATTCAGTCGACGTGTTGCCACACTAAATCTCAAGGGATGGCGTCTTTTGCTTTTGGGAGAAAAAATAGGTTAATAGATATATAAATGTAAATTCCAACACGTTAAAGGTTTTATTATGCTTCTGTTGCCTCTCCTGGATAACCATCAGGAAGTTTGCAAAGGACGTGCAAGATATTCCTAAATTTTCTTCTATGTTCAGAGCGTGGACGATTATGGCCCTCTGCAACTTCCTGTCTGTTTTAGCTCTCAGTGAATTTTGCCGTTTTGCTCTCTCTCTCTTCTAATCCATGTTCTCTCAGCTATTTACAAAAGCTAGCTATGTAGGTTATTTGCTTCTTTTATTTGTCCCCATGGTTTTCTGTATTTCTGTGAGAGTAAAATTCTTCAAGATTTGTTGCCTCGTTATATACCCAAGAAATTTCAATTGTCTCATTCCGATTCAAAGTATGCGTCCTTTTTGTTTCCATTTTCCCGAAAACGTCTTTGTTGCTCACATCTTCAATCCGTTATTCTATTTCTGTTATCTCAAGTCCCTTCTTCATCTTTGTGGAGATAGTCCAGCATTCACTACCATAGAGGAGGACCGATATCACGTAACAGTTCAGTACTTTCTTCTTCTTTTTTTTTAAGTTTCTCACGAATTTTTCCTGTTTCTTAATACTTTGCTTAGCTTTTGGAAAGCCTCTTTGACCATTTCAAAGCGCCTTCGGATTTCGGTTTCACATTTCCGTCTTCCGTTAAAACACTTCCTGGATGCTTAAATTTTTGCACTTGCTTGACTTTGGTGTCTCCAATTTGTAGTTCGCACTAGCGTTTGTCCCCTTTTGCTGACAACTATACATTCTGTCTTCTTCGGATTCTCTAATCAGTAGTAATGGTCAAACAGGATAACCTCGTTAACCATTATTTCATTTTACAAGTCAACACCACACAAGTACAGAAGTTTAAATATCTGGGAAGTGTTTTAACAGAGGATGGAAAATCTGGCACCGAAATTCGAACGCGCATTGGAATAGCGAAAGATGTATTCTAAAAAGAAGAAAACTGAGAAATCGAAGAAATCAGTCTCCTTACAATAGATAATTAGTCCTTTCTTCTGGCATTCCTCTACGACCTTGTTTAAGAGGTCCTTCAGTTTCCATTTTGTGTCTGCTGTCAACATAGTGTCACCTGCGTATCGTATATGATTGAGACTTTGCCCGCCGATAATGAATCCTGGTAAGAGCGTGTACTTGAGTTACATTAAGATGAACACGCTGTAGATTGCTGTGTGTATATGTGACAATGACGCATGAATATGCTATAATATGTTATCAATAGAGAGACAAAAGGATGTACAACTATGTACGCCACAAAGAACTGTTAGAATTGCATTGAGAAAGAAGAAAGAAAGTGAGAAAAAAAAGAAAAAAGCAATACAGTGAAAAAGAAAGAAAGAGAAACGAAATGTATCGAGAAAGAAAGAAAATGGGAAAAACAAAGAAAAAGAAATGCATTAGGAAAGAAGGAAAGTTTCATAAAGAAAGAAAGAAAGAAAGAAAGAAAGAAAAGAAATACATTGAGAAAGAAGGAAAGAAAGAAAGAAAAGAAATACATTGAGAAAGAAAGAAAAAGAAATGCATCGAGAAAGTAAGGAAGGAAGTGAGGAAAAAGAAAGAAAGAAAGTGAGAAAAAGGAGAAAAATAAATACATTGAGAAAGAAAGAACGGAAGAAAGAATAAAAAAAGAAAGAAAATGAGAAAGAAAGAAAGAAAATGAGAAAAAGAAAGAAATTGAGAAAAGGAAGGAAGAAAGAAAAGAAATACATTGAGGAAGAAAGAAAGAAAGAAAGAAAGAAAGAAAGAAAGAAAGAAAGTGAGAAAAAGAAAGAAATTGAGAAAAGGAAGGAAGAAAGAAAAGAAATACATTGAGGAAGAAAGAAAGAAAGAAAGAAAGAAAGAAAGAAAGTGAGAAAAAGAAAGAAATTGAGAAAAGGAAGGAAGAAAGAAAAGAAATACATTGAGGAAGAAAGAAAGAAAGTGAGAAAGAAAGAAAGAAGAAATGCACTGAGAAAGAAAGAAATTGAGAAAAAAACGAAATACATCGAAATAGAAAAAAGAAATCCATCGATGAAGAAAGAAAGTGAGAAAAAAGAACGAAAGAGAGAAAAACAAAGAAAGCAAGAAAGTGGGAAAAAGAAAGAAAAATGCATTAAGAAAAGAAGAAAGTCAGAAAAAGAAAGAAAAGAAATAAATTGATAAAGAAAGAAGGGAAGTGGAAAAAGAAAGAAAGGGGAAATGTACTGAGAAAAAAAGCGAGAAAAAGTAAGAAAGAAAAAGAAAAAATATTGAGAAAGAATGAAAGTGAGAAAAACGAAAGAAAAAAGAAATGCATTGAGAAAGAAATAAAGTGAGAAAAAGAAAGACAAAAGGAAAGTGAGCAAAAAGAGAGAAAGAAATATAAATACATTAAGAAAGAGAGAAAGAAAGTAAGAAAAAGAATGAAAGAAAGAAATACATTCAGAGAGAATGAAAGAGAGAAAGAAAAAAGAAATGCATTGAAAAAGAAAGAAAGAAAGAAAGGAAAAAGAGAGAAAGAAAAAGAAAGAAAGAAAGTGAGAAAAAGAAAGAAACTGAGAAAAGGAAAGGAAGAAAAGAAATACATTGAGAAAGAGAGAAAGAAAGTGAGAAAGAAAGAAGAAATACATTGAGAAAGAGAGAAAAAAAGTGAGAAAGAAAGAAGAAATGCATTGAGAAAGAGAGAAAGTAAGAAAAAGAAAGAAAGAAGACATACAGTAAAAGAAAGAAAAAATGTATCGAGAAAGAAAGAAAGTGAGAGAAAAGAAAGAAATAAGGAGAGAAAAAGAAAGAAAGAAAGTGAGAAAAAGAAAGAAAGAAAGAAAGGTTCTTGAAAATGTTTCTCACATAACATGACTCAATGAAAAATACTCAGTAAATATACAAAAATAGAAAGCAGTGTAAGACAAGGATGTGTCTTCTCGCCGGACATATTCAAACTATATAGCGAGGCTATTCTGAGAGGATTCATTTTTGGCGGCCGCCATCTTAGCAACATAAGAAAGAACACTACAAGAACTCCAACAGAAGATTGTGAAGGAAAACGAGAAGAAAAGGACTAAACATCAATTAGAAGAAGAAAGAATGCATGGTTGTTAGGAAAAAAAAAACAAAAAAAAACTAGATTAACATGTAAATTACAAATTGAAGACACAAAAAAATCAAAGAAGTACAACAATTTAAATATCTGGGAAATGTTTTAACAGAGTATGAAAAATGAGAAAGTGAAATCCGAAAGCTCATTGGAATAGCGAAAGATGATCGCAAACGCCCTGAAGAGACGCGGGACTCAGAACAGGCTGATTTAGTTATATACCAGTTTACGTAACCAAAACACCATAATGCTAACATATGACCAACCCAATTCTTCTCGACACCAATGCCCGACTGAGAGATGGGTGTATTCTGCACGTTGGGATACAATCGTCTAGATTACAAAGGTTCGTTAAACACGACTTCTCGTCAGAATAAAGATCAAATTGGATATGATTACATTCCAGTTAGATAAACAACGCAGTGCAAATATTTTCACTTCAAATATAGAGTAAAAAACAAGATAGTTTAAAAAATGTTGAAAAACAAGGAAAGAAAGTGAGAAAAAAAATTAATTGAGAAAGAAAGAAAGAAAGAAAATGAAAGAAAGAAATTGAGAAAGAAAATGAGAATAGAAAGAAAAAAAGAAGGAAATTAAGAAAGAAAGAAAATGAGAAAAAGAAAGTAAAAAGAAAGATAGATAAAAAGAAAAAGAAAAAAAGAAACTGAGAAAGAAAGTGAGAAAAAAGAGAGAAAGAAAGAATGTAAGAAAAAAGAGGTAAATTGAGAAGGAAAAAAGTAAGAAAAAAGAAAGAAAGAAAATAAAGAAATTGAAAAAGAAACAAATACATTCAGAACGAAAGAAAGAAAGAAAGAAAAAAGAAAGTAACAAAAAAGAAATTGAGAAAGAAAGAATTTGAGTAAAAGAAAACAAGAAAAATGAATAAATTCAGAAAGAAAGAAAGAAAAAAGAAAGAAAAAGAAATTGAGAAAAAAGAGTGTGAAAAAAGAAACAAAGAAAAAAAGAAACAGATAGATAAAAAGAAAAAATTGAGAAAGAAAGAAAGAAAGACAGAGAGAAAAAAAGAAAAAGAAATTGAGAAAGAAACAACATTTTCTTTCTTTTTTCTCACATTATTTTTTTTTAGAAAAAAGAAAGACTGCGAGAAAGAAAGAATGAAAGTGAGAAAAACAAAAAAGAAAGTGAGAAAAAAGAAAGAAAGACATTCTTGAAAATGTTTCTCACATAACATGACTTGAAGAAAAATGTCAGAAAGTTTGTTGCCGTTTGCACAATTCAAGCTGTCTAAATCCTGTTTAGGTTTGTCAATTCGATATAGCTTATCAAATTCTCTTGCATCAACGGATACCGAAAAGTTCTCAGGCCGACTAAGAATCCCTTTCCAATTGTTAGATTAAGCCTTGAACCGTTGTTTCTTAGAAATGATTAAAGATATCTTACCGGAATTCGCTGAGGATTTTATAACACTATTGGACTCTACTTTGAACAATAAGAATGTATTTAACTCTAAATTGAAATGATGATCCCTTGCTGTTGTAACCTATTGATCCAGTTTTCCTCTCTAGTGTTCATTCTTTTTTAAAACTTATTCGCCGTTCTCTTGATGGTTCTTGAATGGACTTTGAAGACGGAAGCCAGAGTATCAATGTTGGTATCATTACTGAAAACCTGAATGATCTTTTTCGTCTTAGTTGAGAAGACAGTGTGGCTGACACAAAATGATTCTAATCTATTCTCTTTCTATCTGAAAATCTCAAAGGGGTTTTCCGTGATTTTTACGATAAATGGTGTTCAGATGGCTAAAAGTTTTATCTGAAAACCAGGAGAAAAGAAACTCAATTAGTTTAGTGGCTTTTTAGATATTAAATATTTTGTGGGATGGACAATTATCCCATGTTGCTACACGACAGAGTAAGGGCATGTACAAACCATACACTAGGGATTTATACAACCACGGGTACGTCGACAAAAGATCCAACCACCATAAAAGGATACCTGACAATTTGTAGAAATCGGCATAATATGGTACAACCCGTCATACCACAGTAATGGCATAAGCAATGTATTAGGTTGGTGCAAAAATAATGTCGTTTTTGACGTTAAGTTGAACGTCAAAAAACGACATTATTTTTGCACCAACCTAATAGGTAGAATTTTCCTGAATTTAATTCACAAACACTTTGGTCATTCTCCAACATTAAAAAAAAAAGATTTTCAACAAAAATAACATTAAGGTAAACTATAGCTGTACACCCCACCCCAAACAAAAACAGATAATTACATATCCCAACATAACAATCATGTATTAAGCAAGCTCCCAAACAAAACACTAAAAAATAATCCTCCTAAAAATCAATGCAACTGCCGTAAAAACGTAACCTGTCCATTAAACGGCCAGTGCATGACTGAAGGCATTACATACAGACCTAGCATGATGTTAAATATTACTTTGGATCCACCTAGAACAGTTGTAAATTGACACAAATTCAACACTTTCAAAGTATATTTAGCGATTAAAAAACAACCACAAGAACTCAACCATTAACTGGGAAATAATCGTGAAAGCTAAGGCATACAATGTAACTTGTGTTCGTTGGAAAAGCTTATTATATTAAAACAGTTAAATAACCCTAACTTGCTGAATGCGAGGTCCGAATTAATGTTTACATGTATCCATAACTCCAAGAAATTGCGGAAATATATTGACCCCGATTAAAAGAGATTGCAAAATAGATTTTACTAATGTTAATATAACATGCAATAACTTTTAATATTCTTAGAACACATCATTAATAACATTTCTTATAGACCTATACACAAATACAATCCAATATTACTGTAATGGATTAATTTATAACGTGTGTGTATATATAATTTCACCTTTATAAGTTCATTGGATATATAGTCCCGACCTATAAATATTTTTTTATATTTACGCCCTTATATTATATTTCTAACCTGTGTTTAAGGTAATCGGTATAATTATGGTATCTTATGTAAAAAAAAACAAAAAAAAAAAACCATAAAAAGCGGGAGTTACGCACTTTGTTTAATTTTGAATCCAAATTCAAATTTAAAAGAGTTAAAAATTGTATTTATTTATTTATTTTTTAAATTCTTCGCCTGTCGAATTCATGTATTTATGAATTTGAATGATATAAATTGTTCATGGTTAATTCTTATATTTCATACAACAATAATTAAATAAACAAGTTTTAACACATCATTGTGAGTCATCACAACGAGATCGCGAACTATATAACGGTCAGAATATCTCCGCACCTGAAGATTGCAAGAACTGCATGAAACTCCGAGTCGTGTTACCGACGTTGGATATTATGTATATTCACTAATATATATATATATATATATGTAGACGATATATTTATTTTAGCTGAAAACAAGAAAGAAATAGAAAATCTGAAAGCTACATTTCGACACGCAGACTCACTTTACACTTTTCTGACTATAGCTCAATTAGATCTCATTTAAATACTCACGGAGACCCACCGGACACTATTCGTAATATACTTGTTAACAACACTAATATAATAGCATCATCTACATGCAAAAAAAAGGCTAAAAATAATGGAAGCCTTAATAAAAACAAAAAAAACAACATTTAATAATATTAATTTTGAACATGGACACCATGTCTTGACCGTGTTTTGAAAAATGAAAACATCTTATAAAACATACATACAACAAACTATTTCTTATTTAACAGTTAAAATATTTAATCCTTGAAAATGGCTAAATGTATAGCTGAAAGCGCTCGGAATGAAAGAACATTCGGGCAGTTTTTTTATATAATTTATCATTCGAAAAGAAAACAATTATTAGATCGCATGAGAAATTGTATAAAAAACTAAATCAAAGCACCTTGTCTGTCGTATTCAATGAAATGTGCATGAAAGATGGATTACTGCCTAAATACACACACACACACACACACACATATATATATATATATATATATATTATGACTGCCACTATATATATATATATATATATATATATATATATATATATATATATATATTACGACTGCCACGTCGTTGTTGAGTATGACCATCTCAAATTATCCTTCATAATAACTTATGATATCAAGCAATGTCTGTGTATAAAAAAATAAATACAAAGAAAGACATTATGCTGGGTCAGTCCCACTCGGTAAGCAAGAATAGCACGCACCCATAAAGTAGAACCAATCAACGTCACTGGATGCTGTCAAGCCACAGGCCTTAAATCTGAGTAGTTTTCCTTCTCCTAGTTGGATACTTTAACGAAGGTAAAGGAGATCATTGTAATTCACCCCTGAGGATGATCTTGGAGGAGATCGAATGTATTTGGGAAGGAAGAAACTACTATATATACTGCTATTAACGCATTGCTCTTCAACTATGAATTGAGCTCTCCTGACTACTGGCGTTTATCGTATATAAAACGTTAAACTTTCCCTTTCTTTCTGCCGTGTGACGATAGTCTAGGGTCGGACAAATCGGTCTGGTTTCGATCTCGGTTTGAAGCAATCGGAGCTATATGGATGACTATATATATCAAAGGAAATTTTAACTCATCATCGAAAACAATTATAATTTATTTCGACAAGTAAGTTTTTAATACTTGTCTCATCAGACCGATATTACAAATAGCTTAATTTTACAAAATGGTTTAAATTTCATTTTTCTCTGTATACTATATATTGAACTCTCTTTATGGGTATATCTTTTTAATATTTTATATTAAAAAGACCTACTTTTTCTCCAGTAAGTATACCAGTAGATGAAATAAATATTGTTTAAATTAAACGGAGCGTCTAGTAATAGCAAAGAGAAAAGTTTGAAGTGACTCATCTGATAGACCGACTCAAGAGTTTTGCATCATGTTCAGATGTTCGATAAATCTACTTAAATTAGTTTTAGATTCAATCACTTATGTGCCATGCGTGATGCATGCCTAGGCGATCATGTATCTTTCGCTACATGATTGACAATGCAGATTTTTCTCGCAGTAGGTTGCCATTTCTTTCTGCGGTAGACTTGTTGCCATCCAAGGCTACACAACCCGGTCTGTCATGCTATTTACCCATAGCTGGCGGGGGGAGAAGTATGGGATTACTACCTTTCCCAAGGGTATTAGAACGTAAGTGAAAGTAATGGATTCGACTGGAATTCGAACTCGGCTCTCCGATTCATCAGTCCGAGCCGCTATCCATTACCCCACCGTGTTTTTAGATTATCGTATTTATACTCCTCGGAACGAACGATAAACATAAATTTTGAATTTCAAATTTGAAATTCTTACCACACTAGAGTTTCGTTAGAAGCATCACAACATTTAAATTTAGGAACAGTTAAACTATTTTTATTATTAATAATATTAATATATTACGCACTAATTCAGATTCTATCTTCTAAATAAATAAACGGCAAATTTTGTCTGTCTGTCCGTGTGTCTGAAATCCCTCTTACTCAGACCACACTTGCTCTACATAGTCATATTGTACTTTTTTGGGATCAGTATGATCCAGGAATTGAAAATTTGCACTTCATCTGGTGCACATATAGCACATATAGCATTGGGATCTCTGTTCGGATAATGAAGGAACAGTTAAACATTCAAATTTTAAAATAGATGAAAAAAATTAGTAATTTTAAAAGGTTTTTGATATATAACGCAAAATGTTTGATTTAAATTCAGTTTAAAATATCACCAAAACTATGTGAATTGAGGAAATCAATTTTATTTCTTCAAAATGCCAAGGAATCAGAATTAAAGTGAGAGGTTTCGTGATGTGAGGTTTTGAAGTTCTCTAGAATTTTTGATTTGATGATCACAATTCATCGGATTGAATTGGAATTTGGAATCCAAACCGGTCTTTTGTTCGGAATTGGACTTATAACCCGAACCAGAGTTAAAGTGACGTTTTGAAGTTCCCTGGAGAGAATTGACGAATTCAAAGTTATTTCTTCAAAATGCCAAGATATCAGAGTTAAAGTGAGAGGATTCGTAACGTGAGCTTTTGTAGTTCGCTAGAATTTGTCATTTGAAGAACTCAACTCAATTGAAGTTTCGCAGAGTTTGTGATTTGAAAAACTCAATTTTCTGCCTGAATCGGAATTTCGGCCTAAATCGGAGTTTCGATCCAAAGCAGTCTTTTGGTCGGAATTGAACTTATAGCCCGAATCAGGGTTAAAGTGACGTTTTGAAGTTCTCTGGAGAGAATTG